CGACCACCACGCCCTGCGCTCCATCCACTCGGCCTTCGCGTCGTACGGCGCCGTCCCGCGCCCGCCGCCGCCCGCCCTGCACGCGCGCCAGCAGCCGCCCTCGTACGAGGCCCTGCTCGAGATCGCCGACAGGATCGGCACCGCCCAGAAGGGCCTCACCCCGGACCAGATTGATATCCTTCCCACTTATGTGTGTCGCGACAAGCATCTGGAGGAGAACCCGTCCCGGAGAGGGCCCAAGTGCGCCGTGTGCCGCGACGTGTATGAGGTGGGGCATGATGTCTGCATCCTGCCCTGCTCGGACGAGTTTCATAAGAATTGTATTACACCGTGGCTTGCGCAGCAGGCCACCTGCCCTCTTTGTCGCTGCCGCTTCGCGTAACCAGCTCGTCGTCTTGTATTGGCGTTCGCTGTTTTTGTCGCGGCCGATCGAGAGAGAGCCCATCATCGCTGTTTATCGCACAGCTTGTATCAACACACTATTCACCACCACCTAAGGATTTCACGCTTGTACGTCCTGCATATATCATCGCACACGAAGCGCCTGTTAAAATCCTTGACCGTGCAGAGGCCCGCGCGTGTCCCTGTATACCATTTGCTACAGCAACGTACACATATTTATCGGTTGTCGCCCAGTCTTTCGGCATCGCTTTACCTCCCTCCTCTGTAGAAAGAAAATGACTCACGCATACCCATCAAAGCCATCTTCTAATCACCCCGATATCTCTCATTCGCCGCCATTCGCCGCCACTGCCTCTTCGCCTTTGGAACCCTCGCTATTCGTCAGCACAGGCTCCTCGCTTTTGGAACCCCCGCCATTCGCCAACACCGGCTCTTCACTTTCGCAATCCCCACCTCCCGCCTTTTCAGTCTTCTCCAACCATCGCGACAGCAGCTGATTACATTCCTCGGGTATCTCCTCAGTGATCCAGTGGCCCGAAGGCAGACTCACGACTTCCCCCCCAGGCGTGCGTTTCACAAACTCCACAAACTTGTCACTATAAAACATCATCCCTTTCTTCTTCCCATACAAGAACAAATGCGGGATCTTCTTCATCAACTCCTTCGTCTCCGTGCTAACCGTCCCTTCAGTATCAACCAGCCCCCCCGCCTTAACAATCGTCTTCACCAACTCCACATACGGGTAGCACATATCCACGGTAACCTCCGCCAACGGCCTCACGCTGTACTTCCAACAGGCCAAAAAACCCCTGACGGCTGCCGTGGCCACCGGGCCGCCCAGGCAGAAGAAGTACGCGAGAAGGGTCTGGTACGCGAGCATGGCGGCCATAGCGCTGGCCTCCTGCTTGTCGATGACGCCGACGTCGAGCAGGATGACGCGGCGGAAGGTGTCGGGGTACTTGCGCACGAGCAGGAGGGCGTACGCGGCGCCCCAGTCGTGCGCGAGCACGGTGACGCGGCCGGGGTGCACGGCGCGCAGCGCGTCGTACACCAGCTGCGCCGTCTCGTCCCAGGAGAGCGCGACGTCCACGCGCTCGCCACGCGCGCCGGGAAGGTCGACGACCAGGCAGCGGTAGCCCGCCGCGCACAGGTGCGCGGCCTGCGACGACCACATGGCGCCGCTGTCAGGGAAGCCGTGGATCAGCAAGACCGTGTCCTTCGCGGAGGCGGGCGAGTCCGGGTGCGTCGTGATCGTCACTTTGGGAGGCGCGGCGGCTGCGCGAGGGTGCCTGAGGTGTTCGTAGAGACGGAACGGCAGATGGAGTAGGGTGAAGATATTGCTCAGAGAGAAGATGACGTAGCAGACAAGGACAAGTGTGAAGCGCTGCGTTAGTTCCTCGAAGGTCGCCATGATGAGGGTGGGGTTTGGCGGGGTGGAGGGGGGATGAGGCGAAGGGAGGGGAGGGGAGGGGGGAGCGCGGGCTTTATATGGGCAGCCGGTAAGCGGCCTGGCTATCTCTTTGCTTACATGCAGCAGACGCTGTTGTACCCTGTATGTGTCACAAAGGTCTTTCGTACGTGTGTCTCCAGCGCAGATTACAAGGCAACAGGGCATCTATCTTATTTTATTATCTTCAATATTATCTTGTGTTAATCAAATAGTGTGAAACGTTGTACACGTGTACATGTGTAACGAGCAGAGAGCACGTCGCTCTCAAGACGTCGCCCTCAAGACGTCGCCCTCGAGACGTCACTCTTGCTACCCTTGGGTAGTGTCTACTCTCCTGAATTTTGTCCTCAATTGAGGACAGAGTTGAAACATGCTTGAAGGGTTGCAACCCCAACCAAGTCTTGGCACTCGACGAGGGCGATATACTAGTGGGTCTGTATCCAAAACAAAATCTAGTACACACCAAAGTTTACTTGACCAAGATCACCCCCCTACCCTATACGTACATGTGTCTGGCCAAGAAATACATTCACAAGTACTGCCCACTGAAACGACCAATCTCAATCCCAGCTCCTGTGTTTAAGCAAGGTCCTCTGCGAAGGGACTCTTTCCGTGCTTGTCCGCCATCACCATATTCGCAATTGACACCGGAGAGATGCCATCAGGGAAAGGTTCCACAACCCTTCTTCTCTTACCACTGCCATCCCCAGCTCCACTTGCCGGTTCAGCAGCCTCGAGGTTCAGATACTGCATTGACGGTCCGGCTGCCCTCATTGGTAACTGATCCGGAAGGAGGACGCTGTCAATGTTTGGAGACTGCGCCAGATGACAAAAATCTCTCTCCTGTCCTCGGCTGTCCGGCGCAGGCAGCGGAGAGACCATCTGCCCCACCATCATCGGCGATGTTGCAACTGTTACTTGTGGCGTTGAAGGACCAACGAGTGGAGGCACTCCCGGCTGAGCCTCATGGCCTAGGAACAGGGAAGTGTTTTCGCCTAGCAACCATTGCATAGGTTGCGTCGGCGCGAGCGCGACTTCAGGCCGCCTTGAAGGTTCCGGTTTTACTCGTCCGCGCTTCGTTCCCTTCTGCTGACCCTTTCGTCGCGACTTTCGCTGCCGCTTCGGCTTAACCACTCGAGCCCCTTGCACGAGTGGCATTGTCGGCAGCAGCAGATTAGGCGGGATCATTTGAGGCGGCTGATGACCCTGTTGCGATGCTTGAGCGGCTTGTGCAGCCTGCGCGGCTAGCTGCCGGTTTTGCGCCTCCCTCAGCGCGGCTGCTGCCTTTCGCGCCCGGCGTCGGTGATTGTTCCTGGTGTACTGCTTACACCTGGCACGAGGGGGACAGCAGTTGCGACAATGCGTGCACTTCCACTTCACGCGGGGATCCTTGGAGGTCACGAAGCTCTCGCGCTCGTAAAGCAACAGACATTTATCACACACGACCTTGCGACACAGGCCAACCTTCGTGTTCGCACAAACCGCGAATTCGATTCGCGAATTCCGACCACAGACATGGCAATAGTTCGAGGCGCTCGCCCCCTTGGAGTACCGATTCTTCGACTTTGTCGCTGCTTGTGGGGCCTCCTGAATGCCCACCTGCCCCGACGCCTGAGTCACGGACGACTCCACACTTAACGCGCTTGGTACCCGATGCATCAAGCTTGGGTCGGCACTTGTTGCTGTCATGGCGGTGTTATATACCATGAGCCCAGAGTGTTCAGGAGCACCAATCCTCTGCATCGGAGCAATACCATGGGTAGCCACACGTGGAAAAGGAATGAGCCCCGGAGCAGCGAAATGTCCCGGTGAAAGGTGCGCAGGAGATATGTACCCAGGAGACATATACGAAGGAGGAATATGCCCGGCATTAAATGCATTCTGCGGCGTTGCGGGTACAAAGTTAGGAGACAATGGCGGTGTCCCTGTCTGAGCCTGCGTCGCCCATGCCGGTGAGTGGAGGTCATGACCGATGCTGTCTTCGTAACACGAATGAGGCAGAAGTCCCGGTTCTCTTATACACTGAGGATAAGGAAGCGAGGCAGGTGAGAGGGCCCGGAACGCCAACTCTGCTGGAGGGTTTCTATGCAGAGCCGATACAAGCGCGGGCGTGTCCTTACTTGCATGCATCGGGGTACCAGAATGATGTCCAAGCAGCGGCAGATGTGCATTGAAGATGGGCGGCGAGACCGGGATGAGACTTGGCTGAATCTCGTCCCGATGAAGGTGGGCATTGTTCGGCTGAATCTCATCGCCGAAGCGTTCTTCCTTCGCGTAGCTCACGGGAGTGCTGTGCATACTCTGACGGGCCGTTTGGTTAGGAGAAGACGCCGGTCGAGGAAGCGGAGCGGAAAGCAAGTCGGCGGGGATCTTAGATGTGTGGTCGTCGAGTTCTAAGTACGGTAGTGTTTCTGCAGGTGCCGGTAGCGGGGTTTGCGGCTCATTGATAGCAGTCTCGATCCACTTGTCGATAAACTTGAAGTCGGCTGTTTCCACTGCCGACGGGGTGCTGTTGAACAGGTTGTCAACGAAAAAGGTGGCATCACGGTGCTCGAAGGCAACATGATCTCTGTGATTGTCCATTGTTGTAGTTGCGGTGGATGAGTTGTTTGACGTTTTGTTGATGAGTTGTCGTGTAAGACAAGTGATGATGAGCAAAGGCAGTTAAAACGCTGTGAAGAGGAGGAACGAATGAATGTGACAAGCCGAAAGAGACCGGGGATGATGTGCTCGTTACGCAAGGAGTGTAAGGAAGAATGTCTGAGAAGTGTTGAAGGAGTTCTTTGGTGAGCTGAGGGAGATTGTGAGACTGGGGTGAGGCAGGAGCGGGTGTGTCCGTTCTTTCCACCTCCTTGCCTTTATACGGGTAGGACGGGCATGAGCAGAAAGCCCTCACTTGTCTGTAGCACATGTAGATTTTGGGCATGCACAGCATAAGCGGCAGACAAGTGAATTTCGCAGGCGACCCGGCGATCATAGGGCTAGTAGGGCGTCGCTTGGGCAAAGCCCGGTTTGCGAGACGCAAAAGCGCCTTAATGATACGCCGGCCTGAAGAGCGCAGACATATTTGCGGATAACAGGGCGCATGGACGGCTGAGAAGGGAAAGTTTACCGGCGCGATTTCGTGTCAAGGGAAGAAGAGCGGCCAGAGGTCCCGGGATGGTGATCAGTGGTGCGACAGAGCTACGGGCGAGGAGGGAATCTGGGCAGGGAGGTTGTGCGCACGCACGCGGCGGACTGCCGTCCGCCCGGCGAGGCCGATGGCCTCGCCGGGCGAGGGCAGAGGTGAAGCCGGGGTTTTGCCACGCAACCAGGGAGGGAAAGCGGGCGGCCGGGCGGGGGACGAATTCATGAGGCAGGAGATCGGGCAGCAGATGGGGGTTCTATGCCCGCGTGACGCCATTGGTCCACGTCAGATGGGTGGACGCAGTGCAACTCATTTTACAATACTGTAAAGGAAACGATCTTTACACTATTGAGGATTTTTGGCACGGTAAGCGGCGTCTATTGGCTGTTTGCCGAAGTCACGTGCGGCTGTGTGGAGCACCTGTCCCAGTTAAATTACGCGCTCGGTACAATACGCTAAGACCCAGGGTAGGGGATTATGGTGAACGATATGCTTTTGAGAACACAGACGGCCGTGGTCAGCTAGTGTCTTTCCGACCGCCCAGGGTAGGGGATTATGGTGAACGATATGCTTTTGAGAACACAGACGGCCGTGGTCAGCTAGTGTCTTTCCGACCGAGGCTTGTCCTCATACGAGGGCAGCTCTTTTTTTTGCAAAATATAGAAATAAAATCAACGTTCAAAAGAAATATTGGGCACTATTTCCCTTAACGTACTTGTTTTCGGCAACAACCTCCTGCAGAACGCCAGGATAACAGCTTTGAATACGCAGGAAGATTAAGAATTTAAGGCAGATTTAGTTCCTCTTTGTCCTATTAAACTGGCGGTTCTTGTTTCCATGTTATTCTACATGGCAGTTTCAACGTGGTTTAAAGAAGCTTCCTTTCCAGACACATCTAAACACGACCAGGAAGAAAATGCTATGCTCACAAAATTCCTTCTTGCCCCAACGCAGAAGTCAAGGATGGTGGTGGGAGTATATTTTTCCTTGTTGTCGGGAAAGGGCAAGTCAAGAAAAAAACAAGTCGAACAGTGTTCCTCCTATGAGAACAACGGCCCGACAAACCTTCGCTGCTAGAGAGCAACTAGCAAACTTTATGGGATAGCTTCTGAGAGCAAGGCAGTATCTTCTGCAGTTTTCAAAAGTCTCATGTCGCGCTATCACTCGGAAAGACTCCCTGCCGGTCGCAAGATGCAGCTTTGAAAACCAATCTGGGGGCTTGGAGCAAAGGACACATTTTTACCTTGAATTTTTTCAAACTGCTTGCATCAAATCGATCATTTCTGCCCACTTTAACCCATCTTCTCTTCTCTCCAAGCCCATCGCTTCGAGCACCTCTCTGCTCTTGTCCTAAGGGAAAGAAGTCGTGGAGCAGTGGTCCAGCACGCAAGTCCGCAATACTTCTCCGTCCATAATATCCACCGAAATGAACCATTTCGCATTTCGCTTCTCGGGCATCCGATTCTCCTCTTGCGTCTAGCAAGGGGAGAAAGTTGCGACTGGACAAAAGAATGGTACATGGTGAGGACAATAGAGGCATACGGGGCAGAAGCGTGGGATGTCCTGCGGCAGAATGCTCTTTTCCGAAATTGCATCGTCAACATTGCCCTCATCTACAGCTCTTTTGCATATCGTCTAACAACGTTAGATAACCTTTTTTTGTAAATTTTGAAGCCCTGTCCCCTACGCATACTCTCTTTTGCACCAGATGTCCGACTAGGGCATTCTCATACTGCAACTCGCAATCGACAAAATCGTCGAAGCGAAGTCGAAACAGGTTACGAAGTAATTTGAATGAGCTGAAGTAACGGCGGCAGGGACACGGTTTACGACAGCATCTCATTGCAATGGTGCATTGGAGAACATACGTCATGACAAATACAGCTGCTGATGTGGAAGACGTCGTGGAGGATGCTCCGGGCTGCCAAGGTTGTGGTGCGCCGGCAGGCAACTGTTTGTAGCGATGCCCTATTGATCCCAGAGCTACTTGGGACGTACGGCCGTTTCCTTATCACGGTGCACGACACAAGAGGCGACCGCGTCTCTACTTTAGCGACGACGGACAGACGTCCGCTGCGCGAGACGACCTTTCGGTTGCAATTAGAGTTGAACGGGCGTCCGCCGCTGGCGCCCGTTCGCATGCACCGCGCCGATGCACGAGACAGAGTCTGCCGCTGGAAGGCGGTGGAGAAAGGGACGGCGACGAGGGATAATAAAAGGGAGCGCCCTCCCGGGAATCAGTCCGGCCGGAGCGAACTCGCCACTACTCTTGTTGTTCTGGTTAGCGTACCCAACGCTAACATAGACGACCTCCGTCGTCTCTGACGTATCCCCTGCAGCCAACGCCCCGCGATTTGCCACAGTAATTACTTTTTCGCGAAAAAGAATCGTGAGCGTTGAGCCAACGGAATTACGTCATCATGACGGAAAAAGAACCAAAAAAATCAACCACTCCTGGGGGCGTTCGTGGAACTGTTCGACAGACAATCGTCACCAACCTCGAGGCCCCACGTCTCACAGGCGTCGCGACCAAACATTTCACCTCTTTTCAGAAAAAGAGGGACTTGTACGAAAAACAAGTTGAGGAGAAGAACCGCGATCCAGGGGTAAAAATAACGCCTACCTCGTATCGAGCATCTATAGACGACTCATATCTCCGTATGTTCCTGACCGCACATTGGATCCGAGCAGACTCTATCAAAGATCTTACGGAAGAACAACTGAAGGAATGCATCAAGATTAGAGCATCTTATGAGCCAAAAAGTCATGAGCTAGAGCACATCGATCGCGTCGTGAAGAATGTCAAGATGGACCTCAGTTTGAAAGAATCCGAAGACCGTATTTGGAGTCTGCATCATCATTATATATCCGTCCTAGAAGCCGCTGGAATGCCTGACCTGCCGGACAAGAAACCGCACATTTCAATTCATCATATTATGAAAAGAATTAAACCAGGGCTATTAAAACGGAGGATGAATGACATTGTCCAATGGCGCAAGGATGAGCAGTTTGACAAGAAGGATTTCGGCGCGTTCATGCGTGAGCTGGCTGTCCAAGCCAAAAAATCAGAACAGGAGCAAGAGTCGCGCTACCACCGTAGTGACTCCGACTCTGGAGCTTCCAGTGCTTCCACCGAAAGTGATTATGACAGAACCCACTCCCAACGTAGGCACAAGAAGAATTTGTCTCCCAAAAAGGGTAATAATAAGAACCTGAAGGGCCGAAATAAAAAGGCAAAAGAAGAAAGCAGCTATAACGTTTCTAGTCGCCGTAAAAAACGTGCTTTCGATATGCCCGACTGCCTCAATCCCAAATGCAGTGGTAAGCATTTCGTCTCCGAATGTCCGATCTCCTCGGAAGAGGAGAAGCCCATTTTCAAGCAGGAGTACCAAGCCCGCAAGAAGCGCAACGTGCGCTTCAGCATGGACAAGCCTTTCGCCGGCGGCTCGGGGAAACACAAGGGTAACATCCGCCGCCTTGGTGCAAAGGCCATTGACAATCACTCAGCTTTGTTCAGTGCAACGTTTGCACTCGGCGCCGTGGAGAGCGTTGTGATGGCCGACCAGGGGTCTGATGCCAACGTTTTACCTCCTGCGGTGTTCGAAGCGCTAAAGAAAGCGTGCTCTGAGCTGGTCGTAGAGGAACTGAACCCCCCGCACTCATTCGACTTTTTGGATCAATCTAGTGGTATAACTTGTCGCAGAAAAGTTGTCGCAGATGTGCAATTGCGCATACGCCACGGGACTAAGCTAGTTCTACGAAAAATTAGTTGGCATGTGAGTGATGCGGCCACTGAGGTCGTTGTGATTGGTCGAAGTGTTCTCCAAGCTATTGGATGTGACAACAAGGCCATGCTCGCCGCATCCTGCGACAAACACGATGGGGTCATCAACGTCCCTGAAGCCCTGGCCGCCGACAAGGCCGTCCATGGCTCGAACGGTACGATTGCTGCTTTGGTGGATAGAGGTGTTTTTCACAGCGACGAGGGCGGCGAGGAGCTGGATGCCCTCGACGAGACTGGCGTCTATATCGACATTGGCGAAGATCCTAAGGAGGATCGCGATGCAGAACTAGAGGCTGCCCTCCTCAAAGCGCAAGAGCAAGGCCTTTCCGACAAAGGCGCTGCGGCGCTGCGCAAAATCATCGACAAGCATCGTGCGATTTTCGATTACGGCTGGGGAAATCCGACCCAGCCGATGTGCCGCCAATGAGAGTACAACTGCTATCTCACAAGCGTCCGGTGAAGGTAAAAGCGCGGCGGTACCCAGCTAATCAGCGCACCTTCCTAAACGCCTACGTAAAACCGCTCGTGGCCATGAAGTTTTTGCTGCCCAATCCGACGGCTGAGTGGCAAGCTGCGCCCATTCTGGTGCCAAAACCAGGCTCTAAAGCTAAACTGCGCCTGGCGATTGACCTTCGCCCTGTCAATGCAGCCACGATAAAGCAGTCGTGGCCG